AAAAAAAAAAAAAGGTAGGAAATAAATCTGACGTAAGTCTTAAAATCATTTATAAGCTTTAATAACCTATGATTTCCTGATAATGTATCATCAGTGATACTGAAAAATCTATCAAAAATATGAAAAACAAATTCACCAGAACATCAACATCACAGTCTACATTAAAGCACAAACCGCTTTTGTATGACAAGTCATATTTCTTAAAAACATACTCTGCAAAACTAACCAAAAGATATAGCACACTAGTCAGGACTGGGCTGTATAGAAATCAATTTTTGAAGGCTATACCATGGGAAAATTGCTTCTAAGTGTGTAACATTTAAATTAGCATATAGATTTTCTTCACTTGATGACTTTAATGCAACCACCAGAGTATCATCATCTCAATACACAGCCACTTAAAACTTTTAAGTGTTTTTGTCACTAACAGGACAAACTATTCACACTTAAAGCTTGCTCCAAACTAGAAATTTGTTTGGCAAGATCCAACAAATGCCACAAATCCTTCCATACCACAAATGTCATCCTAATACAGGACCTGAGAACACAAGCACATGCACACACACAAGCTACAGGAACTTTTCTTCACACATCAAGTTAAGCCGAACATGATGAACACTAAATACCTTCTGTTTCTTTGTTTTTGAGAGCCTCACTATGTAGCAAAGGCTGGCCTCAAACTCACAGTCCTCATTACTAAAGCCTCCTGAGTGCTGGGATTAGAGCAAGCTCTGCCACACTGCCCAGCTAAACACCAGATATATTTTGAATTGCAATTTTAGATAAAGCAAAATAAAAACCATGAGCAGCTTTTCTATTATTTTTATGTGGAAGTGAGTGCACACGAATACCTCATGTGCTGGTGCCTGCAGGGATCAGAGGGTATCAGATCTCCTGGAGCTAGAGTTGTGAGCCACCCACACAGGTGTTGGTAATCAAACTTGGGTTCTGGAAAAGAAGTACTTGCCCTTAACCACTGAGCTATCCATCTTTCACTATGTAAAAAATTAAATTGCAAAAATAAGCTAGACTTTTAATACTAGTGACTGATTCCTCATGATTTCCTATACTTAAAACACAAAGTTCATTGTGAAGTTGGATATTTGTTTTAACAATTTCTTTCTTTTAATATCACTAGAAACAAGTACCTTTTGGGGGGCGGTATCTTTTTGAGACCCATAGCCCCAGCTGATCTGCCACTTGCTTTGTGACCAGGCTGGCCAAATCTCACAGAAATCCACTTGAATCTGCCCTCCAAGTGTTGGATTAAGGGTGTGCATCAAGATGTCTGACTCAAGTACCTTTATTTCAAAGGCAGTAAACATACCAAAAAATTTGCATTTGTCAAATACCATGGAACTTTCTTTTTGCTATTCTGATTGCTTGTTCCAAACTGTCATAACAGACTAGGCTGGCTTTTAAATTACGCTGTAGCCCAAATCAGCCTCTCACTCACTCCATAACCCAGGCTGGCTTTGAACTCCTGACCTTTCGAAGTGCTGGGATTACAGGCACACACTCCATGACTGGCTTCCTACTGTTACTTTTATTTTATTTTTTTTTTTGGTCTTCTTGAGACAGGGTCTCCTGTAGCCCCAGCTGTCCTGGAACTCACTATGTAGACCAGGCTGGCCTCGAACTCACAGAGACCCACCTGCCTCTGCCTCCCGAGTGCTGGCATTAAAGATGTGCGCCACCATGTCCAGCCCTACTCTCATTTTTTAAACAGACTTGTCTTTTTGAAAGGAAATGAAAAGAAGAAAAAAATTAAATTTGTCATATTGTCTACTTGGTACATCTCTTTTAGCCAAACATTTACAGAGAACCTAAGATGTGCCACACATGACAATTGGGAACTGTGACAGATTGCAGCATTTATTCCAAATATTATTCAGCTTCTGAATGTATTATACATGTATCATTCTACTTAAACTTCTCTTAAGAAATTTTCATCCAACACCACACCTAAAAAATTCACCTTTTCCTAATACTTTTTGAACTACTACTGATTATGTTTTCATTTACATGAAAGGAGACAGGAACTTTCAGCAGACATACTGTTCCATGCAGTCTTAGAGCTCTAAACTCACAAAGGAAACTTTAAAAATTGGGCTAAAATGCTTTGCATGATGGACAAAAATTTAAGTAGCAACAGCTTTTGCTTCCCTTCTATAAACAGAGGCATTATAAATTATAACTGGGATGCAACACTGCAAAAGCAACCCTCATTCTGAAAAGAATGTAGTTTTTAAAAACTAGTCCAAAGGAACTGTCAAAAGAACATGGTGTTTACGGCCGAACATGCTATCTGTTGCATTTCCATCCTGCGAATACACACTACCCTTTCCAAGTACATCTGAATTTGTAATGGATCAAAAAGAGAAAACCCTGCTAGTACTTAAGCTCCACCAGTGAAATATATTTGTTTCAGATGCCTGACGCCTTCCATCCTGGAGTGTGTTTTAAAAAAATCATGTACATATTCCTTAAGACGGCAAAAGCCACCTTTCTTTTTATGGCTATAATTTTCTGCACCATACACAAGCTACTTCTTAAGACACTTGTGCTTCTGAGAAGCCATTCAATCAACACGTTTCTGTAGGAGGAACCTTGCCATCCGTTTTCCACGCCACAATGTATGCCAGCGGCACAGATGACAACTTGCAGTCCCGACAGATCAACAGAGGAAAATAAGCCACACAGCCCTCAGTCCCTGGAGACACATGGAGCAACTGCCAAGTCTGATCTCTAAAGGTAAAGATCGCACAACTGCTCTTTTAAAAATCTTCCAAATTGGACTGTCTCTTCAACTATCAGGTTTTCGCTACAAACTCTCAGTCCCGCTCACACAATGAATGAGACTTTCTCCTATCGCTGTAATCGATAGAGCCGCTGTGCACGCAGCACGGCTTCTAGAGTCGGGTTACTTGACCTGCTTTCCGTTTTGCGATTTAAGACGATTTAATTCGCGTAGCTATTCCTACGGCCCGGTGCTTTTGCAAAAGCCCCTCTCTCCCGGACACACGCACGTCTGCCTGCACAACTCCACCGCACAACCGTGGGTGTTCGCGCCGACGGACCCGGGTCTCCCAGGAAGGGTGGGCGACCGGCCCGCACACACCTTCCTCTGCAAAACTCGCAGGCCGGCACGGCAGCCCGCGGCCCACCCCGACTTCCTCCATTCGAAAGCGGCGGCGGCTGGGCTTCCGCAGGCCGCCTTACCTTCATGGTGACTCTGGGGCGGCGATCCCCTCGGCGACACCAACCTCACGAGCACCTGGAGGAGAAACAAAGACGCCCCGTCAGCACCGCCAGCAACCCCCCCGCCCCTGCGTCGTCGGGGCGGGGGAGGTACCGAGACGAACCCGGGCGGCCGGGAGCACCGAGCGGAGCCCCCGAGCCCGAGCAGGCCCGAGCCGCTTTCGGTCGGCTTGACCGCACCATCCCCGAGCCCCCAACCGCCCCCACGGCCCGCCGCTTCCCGCCCCATTGTCGCGACCCGACGGACTTTCCCGTCCTCCACTATGACGCCATTTCTGTCAGAAGAAACTCACAACAAGCCGCGGGTCCGGCGCGGCCTAGACCGGGGCTGCAGCCGTCCGCCCCCACGGGGCCGCTCAGCCCGCGACGCGCGGGCACCGGCCGGGCCTCGGTGAGCCCGCGGAGCGGAGGGCCGCGGCGCGGGGCCTCGCAGTACTGCCCGCCCGAGCAGAGGCCAAGCACCGGGTACTCCGCAGGCGGCTCCCAACCAGAGCCGGGCCAGTGAGGGCGGAGCAGGATCCCGGGAGGCCGAGGCCCCGGACCCCAGCGCCGCCACGGCGCCGCGGCCATCTGCCCCGCTCCCGAGCCGGGCCCGGGCGCTCCCCCCGCCCCAGCAAACGCTAACCCGGAAAATGGCCCTACCTCCAGCCGAGAGAAGGTCCAAGCGCTGCACGTCGAGTTCCCGCTCCGCCTCCCCCCCACAGCAGGCCCGGGGCAGAGACGGGGGAGAAGGCGGCGGGGTCCGGCAGTGGCCGAGGCTCAGGCTCCGGCTCCTCCTCCTCCCGCAGCGGCGACTGGTACCTTTGTTTGGCGACCGCTCCGGCTCCCTCGCGGGGGGAGGGGGAGACGAAAAACCCCTCCCGGACGGAGGTCCGAGCTCCGGTCGCGCTGCCCTCCCGCGGACGGCGGCGACCGACCCTCTGCAGCTCCCTCCGGGCAAAGGTCCAGGCGGCGGCCGTGGCGGCGGCGAGCTGGAGCTCGAGACTCTCCTCCGCTCCTGCACCCGAGCTCCTCACTCCGGACTCGACTGACGGGCAAACATCGCTTCCCCCCACCCGGGGCCCCCCTTCCCTTCTCCCCTCCCCTAAGTTCTTTTCCCCTCCCCTACCTCTTTCCCGGATGGCCTCCCAGACGACCAACGATTGGCTGGAATTCTATAGAGCCCGCCCATGCTCAGTTCCTATTGGTTTGAGGGATACAAACAACGCCGCCATTTTCCCACCAGTTCTATGGAAACAGAAAGTTACGCCTCAAGTCTTCCTGGGAATTGTAGGCCAGTCCTCAGAGCCAACCACCAAACTCTTGCCTGCAAGAACTACAAGACCATCGTGCCCTTCGCCTGCGTGCAACGAAACTGGGGAGGGGAAGGGGGCGCAGCCATCAGGCAGAGGGGAGGTGGCCTGCGACGCCTGCGCAGTGTGACAGGGATGGCGCATTTTCTTGCACCGAGTAATGCGGCGTCGCCGGCCGCTGAGGAGGGCGGAGAGTTCTGTGGTGAAGTAGGGGGTGGGATCTATAGAGGCGTCGGGAGGAGCAGCGGTCTGAACTATAAAGTGAGGAGTTGACGTGCAGAGAACTGCTAGTCCCAGCCTGGGGGCGTGAAGTCGTGAGATCATCGTGGAACCGTGAGCCGTGGCGCTGGCGGCGGGGGGACCCGGATGGGGAGCTGGAAGGGGGCGGGGCGAAGGGGAAGAAAGGAGGGAGAGGACCCGGATGCTGACCCGGCTCGGGGTGACTGGCGGCAGGGAGCCGGGAAGGATGGGGGCACCGGCACGGCCCGCTTTCGAGCCGGGTCCGCCACGGCCCGGGAGGGCTCTTCATGAGCCGTGGTCGCTCGAGCTCGGGAGGGGAAGGCTCTCCGCTTCTCGGTGTAGCCTTTCCGCCACCGGAGCCTGAAAGGAAAAACGACTTGGCGTGGAACTTTCACTTTTTGTATACGTGCTGATGGCTACACTTCACCCTCTGAGGTGTTCGGAGGAGCTTTCATTCTGTCCTTAGTGTGTTGACTGCCCGCCATGTGGGAAAAAAACGGGACGGACCTTACATTTCCTGACTCGAAGTCTGGGCAAGAAATGTTAAAATGTAGGAAACATTAAATGGGCTGGAGCGGTGGCTCAGGGAAGATGGAGAAGCTTCCTAGAGAGGTTAGAGCTCCAGAGCCAGCAGAAGTGACCAAGAAAAGAACAGCCCACACAGCACACTGGAAACCCTTTTCAGGAGGAAGCTGTCCCAGTATGAAAAACTGAGACCCGAGAAGGGGGAGGGGTAACAACCTTTTTAGGCTGGAGGCCGAGACAGGAGGATTACTGTAGGTTCCAGGCCAGCCTAGACTACACAGGGAAACCATATCCGGTCTCCGGCGAAAGAAAACTAAAAAAACATTTTTATTATTCCGGTGATCGAATGAGGAGGAGCTTGGTGTTGTCAAACAAGCATCTCCCAAGGCCAGACTGAACTACCTAAACTCTGTCTCAAAATGAGAAACATTCTGGAGGAGGGTAAGAAAGGCCACTGTGTGATAGTTCAGAGGCGTAAAGAATAAGTGTTATCAATATTCATTGACCTTTGAACAGATTTCCAACAGGTGTTCAGTTTTGAAAGTGGAAAAAGTGTCAGATTCTCCCCTAGGCATTCTGAAGTTACTCCCGTGAATTCATGGAACACCACTACTGTTACCTTTTTACATTTAAATCTAGTACATGGAAACGGAGAATTCTAGCTGTGATAAGTTGGCAGTCTTTTAGGTATAGAGCTCTTTAGACTTCTGTATGAGTATGAGTGTTTTGCCTGTGAGTGCACCCGGCGTCATGCATTGCCAGTGCCAGAAGAGAACCTTGGATGTACTAGAACTGGAGTAACAGGTGGTTGTTAGCTGTCATGTGGGTGCTGAGACCCAAACCCAAGGTCCTCAGCAAGAGCAACCAGTGCCCTTAACCACTGAGCCATCTCTCCAGATCTGCTTAGATGCCTAAGAAGATGCAAGACGCATTCATGTCTGGTTCCTACAAAAATTGAGGCTCCTCAGTTTTCCCACCACTGAGAATACTTATGTAAATATTTTCTGGGAAAGAAACATGAATTTCCTTACATGAGTATTGTTAAACTGTGAATGAGCAGAAGAAAAAACAAAGCTAGGCCTAATGATGCATCCCTTTAATCCCAGCACTTAGGAGACAGAGGCAGGCAGATCTCAGTGGGATTGAGGTCAGCCTGGTCTACATAGCAAGTTCCAGGCCAGCTGGGGCTGCAGGGAAACCCCGTCCTTAAAAAAGTCAGGGATTTAAACAAAGTGCCACTCTGATTTGTGTGCAATAGTTCACCTGTTACTGACTCAGGCAAATTGTGTGTGTGTGTGTGTGTGTGTGTGTGTGTGCATGTATGTGTGTGTCAATGAATGTATTGTCTGCATTTGTGTAAGTACATTTGTGTAGATGTACCTGTACCTGTGTCATACATTTCTCACAGTGATCAGAAGAGGGCATCAGATTTCCCTGGAACTGGAGTTACAGGCGGTTATTAACTGCCATGTGGGTACTAGGAACTGAACCCAGGTCTTCTGTGTGCGCCACCACGCCCGGCTAGCATCATGATTCTTATTCCCAACCTATGTGAAAAGAGATGGCTACTGGTTGATTGAAACAGAGCATATAAAAGGCTTTGAGGGCTTGATGACTTAGCTTGCAAGTGCAAGGCTCTGGATTTCACCCCAACACCAACAAACAACAAAGATCCTTTTTTATTCTACCTTTAATCCTAGTCGGTAATTATCTGTTGCCAGCATCATTTTTCTTCCCTTTGCGTCTTCTTTTTCTTTTAACCTCTAAGAACAAGGTAACTATGTACAAAATTAAACTGTAAGGTAATGAATTAGTAAATTGGACCAGGCATAGTGTCCCACACTTGTAATCCCAGCACTCCAGAGGCTGAGACAGTAAGGTCAAGAGTTCAAGGCCCATCTGGACTACACAGGGATTCCAGACCAGTCTAGGATGCATAGCATCTTAGAATGCAAAGCCCTATCTTGAGGGAGAAAAAAATGTTGCTAAATTGGTATTTGGATTCTTTCGGAATATTTTTATAAGCTTTCTTCTCCTTGTGTTGTGCTTAGCGTTAATTACTACTCAAGGCAGATGTGGGCCTTTTCTTGGGAGATAGGGGTTGAGACAGGGTCTCTTGTAGCCCAAGCTGGCCATGAATTCCTCCTCTTCCTTCCACTTCCCAAATGCTGGGATTACAGACTTGTGCTACTGTGCTTGGCTAGAAATGTTGTGTATGGGATGTTGCTCCTTGAATTATGTTACTAAGATAATTTCCCTTGGTCAGGTGCTGATTTTTGTAGAATTGTCTGGCATAGTTAATTATTGAGAATAAACTATGAGCTGAAGAGATGGCTCAGCAGTTAAGAGCCCCGCTGCTCTTGCAGAGGGTCCTGAGTTCAGTTCCCGTTACCCACATCAGGTGGCCCAGCAGCTACCTGTAACTCCAGCTCGAATGGATCCAGCGCCCTCTTCTAGCTTTTGCAGGCATACACGTGCACGTGATGTACACTCACATAAATTAAAATTAAAATTAAAAAAAAAACAACTATACCGGTTATGGTGCATGATGGCTAATCTTGGGTGTCAGCTTAACTGGATCTGGGATTAACTGAAATGAAAGAGATCTTCTTGATTGGATCATATGAAACTGGAAGACACACCCTAAATGTGGGTGTTACCTTCTGATGGCAGCAGGTATAAAAGGCCAAGGCAGAAGAGTACGACGCCAGGCTTCTTGCTGCTTGCCTTCTCTCTTGCTGGTGAGTTCGCCTTGCTGCTATAGACTGAAGATTAGCTGATCTTTTGGAATTTGTCCACTACTGAGACATCCAGCTTTGTGGACTGAGCAACTATGGATTCTCAGCCTCTCCAGTGTGGTGCAGACGTTGTTGGACTACTCGGACCCTATCCTGTGAGCTAAGCTGATAAATCTCTATACATATATATTTCATTCTACTGGTTCTGTTTCTTTGGAGAACCTTGACTAATACACGGTGGCACACGCCTTTAATCCTGGTACTCAGGAGGCAGAGGCAGGTGGAGCTCTACCAGCTCAAGGCCAGCCTGGTCTACAATAGTGATTTCCAGGCCAGCCTGGGCTACAGGGAGACCCTGTCTCAAAAAAACAAACAATAAAAATAATAATAAGATAAACTACAAAACAAGATGCTTTTGAGGCTGGGAAGGTGGCTTAGTACATAAAGTGCTTACTTTGAAAGCGTGATGATCAGAGTTCCATCCCCAGCACCTGTGTGAAAGACAGTCGTGATAGCGCACCTATAATCTCAGCAAGGGGGAAGCAGAGATAAGCAAGTCCCTGGGGCTTGCTGCGAAAGTATGCTTGTCACTGGGCATGGTGACACACACATGTAATCCTAGTGCTTAGAGGCTAAGGAAGGATTAATTCTGGGCTAGCCTGAGCTGCATGGGGTAACCCTGCCTTAAAAACAAAGTGAATGTGTGTTTTGATCCTAAGGAACAACTGAACAATGCACTAGTTTCATTCCTTGACTCCCATTTGTGAACCGCCTTCGATAAAAAGCTAAGAGCCCTGAGGGCGCTGCGAAAACAGCTCCTTCGGTCAAATGCTACACAAAGCATGAGGATCTGAATTCAGATCCCCAGATCCCGTGTTTTAAAAGCCAAGCTCTACAGCCCACATCTGTAACCCCAGCACTAGGCAGGGCAGGGGATCCTCAGAGTTCATTGGCCAGCCAGTCTAGCTGAATTAGTAAGCCCCAGGTTCAATGAGGAACCTTGCCTCAAAAGTAAGGTAGGGGCTGGAGAGATGACTCAGTGGTTAAGACTACTACCTACTCTTGCAGAGGACCTGGGTTCAGTTTCTAGCACCCAGTGGTGGCTGGAACTCCAGTTCCAGGGGACCCAATCCTCTTCTGACCTCCATGGGCATTGCACAACATGGATGCACTTATATACATGCAGGTAATATACTCATACAGATAAAATGAAAAAAGTGAGGTAGAAAATGATCGAGGAAGGCACCTGAGATTATCTTCAAGCCTCTACACAGACGCGTGCACACACGCATGCATATATGCACATAAACACAATTCTTTTAAGTTTTATATGCGTGTGTATGGATGGATGTGGTTCCACAGTGCCCATGTGGAGGCTAGAGAACAACTTGTGGGAGTCTATCCTCTCCTCCCACCATGTGGGGTCCCAGAGATTGAACTCTGGTTGTCAGGCTTGGTGGCAAAGACTTTACCTTACCAAGACTGAGCCATCTCGCTGACTCCACACACAAAAAATTTTTTAACGAGTTAATTACTGAGAGTTAGCTCACACTTGTAATCCCAGTACAGGAGAATCACCACTTTGAGGCCAGCCTGTGCTGCTTATCAAGACTGATGCAAAAAAAAAAACAAAAGGCAGTAATTCTTATGTCTTAGCCTATGATTGTACGAACATGAATGTTTTTCTGCTCAAGATTAAAGGGTGAAGGTATTCTGTCCCTGAAGATTCTGAGTACACTTACATTATCCCCTGCATTCTGTATAGTTTTTTGTTGGTGTGCCTATGTCTGTGGAGGTCATAGATGCCTTAGAGGATCCATAACGTTTCTCATATTCTCCAAGGCTTATTGGACCTATGAGATGGTGTTGCTAAAATTACTTCTAGAAGGCACATGTGGCAACCCACCCCCTCCTACCACCGTCCTTACAACAAAACGTGCTATAATTTCTCCACAGAACAGTTTGGTGAGCCAAAGACTTTATTGGACTTTCAACAGATCCGTGGGTGAGGGGGTTACTTACAGAAGTGTGGGTGCGGGTAGGCTCCCCTCTACATAGCAGTACAGACCCTGTGACCTCCCAGCGGCTGCCCAAGATGGCGAAGGCCACCCCTCTCACCACCGGCTTCCCCGACCCTATCCTTAGTCCCTCCCCCATGTACCCCTCAGGCCAACTGGTTGGATGGAAGGCATGAGTGACTCTTTCTGCCCCTCCCCTCCTATGGAAAGTTTGTTAGTGGTGATCAGAGCAAGTGGGTGAATCCCAGCTTGAAAAGAAGGCATTTGTCCCCGCTTGCCAGTCTAGCTTGCCAGTTGGGGGACAAGCCCATACAATGAATGCTTCAGACTACATGAAAGCACCAAAAAACTTGCACAGGGCTGGCAAGATGGCTCAGCAGATAAAAGTGCTTCCACCAAGCCTGACTACCTGTGTTCAGTCCCTGGGGGCAACACAAACAGTTGGTGGTAACTGCGCCACCTTTTAGCATGTGCCTTGAATGCATGTTGCACAACATTTCTTTCCTACTGTTGTCATATTGTACATCATAGTCCATGGTGGAAAAGCAAGTATACGGTAGGAATTACATGTTCACCACACACACACACACACACACACACTCTTTTTTTTTTTAAACACAATTTCGTTCAAGCCTGGTCCTGGCTTGGAACTTTCTGTGTAGCCCAGGCTATCCTGAAGCTCATTGCAGTCCTTCTGCCTCAGCTCCTGAGTGCTAGGATTACAAGTGTGAGCCACCACACCTAGCTTTTGGTTTGCTCCTTTTTCCCTTCTGTTGGTCACTCTGTACAAGGAAGTAGGGATGCTAAATACCCACTCTCACTGAATTGGATGGTCTGAGAACTTTTTGAGCTCTTCAGTGTGCTGTAACGATGGAAAGGTGGCAGTGATCATCAGACTTTGGATATTCTCGTCCTTTGCTGTCACTTGTCAGTATTTATTCAACGTCTTCAGATTTATGTGGGGGCATGCGTACTTACTTACCTGCATCAGTGTGTTCATTCACCAAAATGATGTGTAAAAGGCCTTATATTTGTAGCTCAAGTATATGTTACATTTTCCCCACGGTTTTCTCAAACGATTACTATAAACTGCTTTCAAAGGCCCTATAAGTAGGCGGGCTGTTGAGGAGGGGTCAGATGAGTCTAGGGCTTTGGTGGGTACTTTCCTAAGGGAAAAGACCCTGAAAGGGAAAACAGACAATCCCGTAATACCCCACAAGCAATAACATAGCAGCTAGGAGGACTGTGGTCACATGGCACTGGGGAATCAGGCCTCCACCTCAGTCAAGCTGCCTCTGTTACTCAGTGGCCCAGCGCTACCTCGCATCCCTAGGGAAGGGGGTCACATATCCATGGGTGCGTGTCCATTGAAGTTCCTCCACCGGGGGTGCCTAGTGCCAGGAAGCAAGCTCATCATTCTTGAGACAGTGCTCCTTAGTGCAGAGGTGAGGGGGGCCACCACAGCTGAGCAGGTACTAGGCCCGGGTCCTTCTAATACTGGCTCAGGACCCCTGTGGTACTGGCTGTGGCAGCAGTAACTGCAACAGTGCCTCTTCTTGGCAGACGATCACCATTTGTGATGGTCCACCCATGGACTAGTCCGGCAAATTCTGCAGAAGCCTGGGGAAACACTAGCTGGAATCCCTGCCAGCAGCCTGCCGGTTCCTGGTTCCCCAGCAGCCCACCAGGAGGCATTCAGGCAATGCTAGGGTACTGGAGAAGGGCCTTTTCTCACTGAGACCCTGCAGCCCTCGTGCTGTAGGCTGTGCTGCAGCATCTTGCTGCCCTTGCCCAGTCATGGTGGACCTTATGATTTCTAACAGATTCACTTCCCCTAGGCACCAGTCAGCAGCCCAATTACCACCCTGGTTTACATTTGTTTAAAAACCAGTAAGGAGTAAAATGGCTGTATTCCTGAGAATAGATGATGAAGTCATGGTCGGAGATGACAGAGCTGCAAAAGATGGATTCCAGAATTTATGATGTTAGGCTGGGCGTGGCGGCGCATGCCTTTAATCCCAGCACTTGGGATGCAGAGGCAGGCGCATCTCTACTGGCTAACGTTAGCCTGGCCTACATAGTGAGGTCCAGTCCTTCCAGGGCTACGCAGTGAGACTCTGCCTAAAAACAAGAAGAAATGTAATGGTATGAAGTGACTAGGGCAGATTTCAAATCTGAAGAGCACATCCTTAGTGCTGCAGTAAGCAAAAAGCGCCAGCACACCCTCGTTGATGTGATGTGATGTGGTATGATGGGCACAGGGTAGCTAGTTCCCGTTCCACAGGTTCTACCGGGGCTATAGGAAGATCCTGTCTAAAAAAGTAATAATAGCAATCCCTCATGCCCAAGAGGCTAAGCTAACCTAAATAGTGCCTCACAGTTGTGCCTGGAGACTTGTCTAGGTCATTCTAGATCCTGCCAAGTTGACAACACTAACCATCACAGACGCCTTCCAATCCCAAAATTCTGTGGCACGCAACTCTGAACAGCACTAATCATGAACTGCTATTATATAACTGTACTATGTTTTGTGTTTACATATATACAGTGAAGCCAAAACAGGTTACGAGGAGAGGACTTGTGATCCTAGAGACCTAAAGTGTGCCAGAGATGCCGTATTGTTAGAAGAGAAAAGCCTGTAAGGATAAAATGGGAGTAGGTATTCTTAGAGAAAGAAATTCACCAGTAAAGGAAGCCGCTGCATCGACCAGGATTGGAGCCAGGGGTGGTGGTGCATGCCTTTAATCCCAACATTCAAGAAGCAGAGGCAGGCAGGCGAATCTCTGTGTGTTCAAGTCCAGCTGGGACTGGGGACCCAGTCTCAGAAAGAACAACAGCAACAAAAACCAAAGACCAGGATTGAAGCTAGGCAAAGTTAGGGTTAAGGCTTCTTGTAATCCCAGCATTTGGGAATAGAGGCAGGAGGATCAGGAGTTGAAGGCTAGCCTGGTCTGCATGAGATCCTGCCTCAAAAATACACATATACGTACATGTGTGCCATGGTTTTATGTTCTAGGGAGTATTGTACTAAATGCAAATTTCAGCATAATTAGGGGCTAGAGAGATGGCTCAGCAGTTAAGAGCACTGGCTGGGTTAGAGGACCTGGGTTAGAGTCCCAGCACCCATTTGTGGCTAGCAACTGCCCATAATTCCAGTTCCAGGAGATCTGACACCCTCTTCTGACCTCCATGGGCATTGCATGACATGGGTGCATTTACATACATGCAGGCAATACGCTCATACACACAAAATAAAAATAATAAATAAAATACTTTAAAATTCAAAATAAACATTACAGGGTGGGTTGGGGGGTGTTTTTTGTTTTCTTGCTTTGTTTTTTTGACAGGATCCTTGCTAACCTGACACTCTCAGATCCATCTGCCTCTGCCTCTTGAGTCCCAGGACCAAAGGTGTGTGCTGCCAAGCCCAGCCACTGTAGGAAAACTTTCAAAATCAAGTAATTGCATTCAAATTGGTGTGCTTCTTAAAACTTCTCTGAAATTAACTTTAGAAAAAATAGTCTTCCTCATAAATTATAAAACACATCCATCTTAAAGTTCATAGAAAGAATGCTTGCTACTTCGTAATCATTAAATGTAGAAATATCTATTTTAAGGATTTGTTTGGCATTTCTTTTATAATTAACTACGAAAGGCTTACTATAAGTTACCTAGGAAAACCACTTAAAAATCAGCCAAACATTCTGACCAGTATAAGCACTAGAATGAAGAGCTTTCCTTTTGAACAACTTGAGATGTATTTATATACCACCCATCTAGAGTGCAGGACTCAAGCTGAGTATGCTGGCCCATGTCTGTAGTCCTGCCCCCTTTGGAAGCTGAGGTGAGGAGATTGCTTGAGCCCGTGATTTCAAGGGCAGGTTGGGCATGATAGGAAGATCCCATCTCAAAACAAAGCCAAGTATGGTGGTGCATGTCTGTAATCCAAGCACTCAGGACACTGAGGCAGGAAGATAAGTTGGAGGCCATGTGAGCTATATAAGCAGTAAGAACCTGATTCAAAACTTGAAAGAAAGAAAAAGAAAGAAAGAGAGAGAGAGAGAGAGAGAGAGAGAGAGAGAGAGGGAGGGAGGGAGGGAGGGAGGAAGGAAGGAAAAAAAGAAAAAGGTAGGTCATGTGTGCACACCCTTAATCTCAGCACTCAGAAGACAGAGGCAGGCAGATCTCTGTGATTCCAGACCAGCCTTGTCTCCATATCCAATTCCAGGCTAGCAGGGGCTACAGGGAGACCCAATCTCAGAAAAATTAATCTTCTGCACGTTTTTTTAAAATATTTTATTTTTTTTAATGGTTTCCGTGTATTTCCTGCATGTAGGTAAGTGCACCTGTGTCAAGCAATGCCCTCAGAGGACAAGAAGAGACTGTCGGATCCCCTGGAACTAGAGTTACGGACAGTTGTTGGCTGCCATGTGGGTGCTGGGATACGAACCCGCGTCTTCAGCAAGAACAACCAGTGTTCTTAACCATCTCTCCAGCCCCTCTTCTGTATGTTTTAGTGCATTCACAGAGTGTACAGCCATCACAACATTCTAGTAACATTTTGAGATACCCCCAGGGGAAAAAAAAAAAAAACCAAACCTCATTATTAACAGTCAGTCCTTATTTCTGTGCAGAAACCACTAAGCTGCTTTCCCCACCGTAGATATGGCCAGATTTAGAACATTTTGGGGATTTTTTTTTTTTTTTTTTTTTTTTTTTTTTTTTTGTGGTCTTTTTGAGACAGGGTTGCCCTATAGCCACCACTGACCTGGATTTGCTAAGTAGACCACCTGGCCTCTGGAACTCACAGAGATCTGCCTTGCCTCTGCCTCCCGCATGCGGGATTAAAAGCGTGGGATTAAAAGCATGGGCCTCCCCACTCCCTGCTCTTCAAAACCGTATCGGACAAATAGGATCCTTTGTGTGTGCTTTGGTGACTGGCTTCTTTCCATTTCCGTAGTGTTTTCAAAGTTTTTTTGTGCATGTAATGTTTTTCTACTGAAATAAAGTTTGTCTTTGTTTCCCAAAACACCTTGAGATACAAATTCCTTTGTAGTCTGACACTTAGAATTTGATTTGTGAAATCACTGTTGTATTTCTCCTTTTTGACAGATCAACTTTGAAATTCAAAACCATGGAAAAGACTGAAGAAAAGGCACAGCGGATTCTTCTAGAGCCCTATCGCTACTTACTCCAGCTACCAGGCAAGAGAGCCATTTGGTTATTGTCCACAGAGCACGCTTTTTAGAGTAGTACTCATTCACATGTTGACAGACAGGTTAGACTGGAATAGATCTCCAGATTTTCTGTTCAAGGTGAAACTGTGGGAGAAATTATAAACAGAACTTATGATGAAGTTTTTGTTTTACAGAAACAGGATCTTACTATATATCCCTTACCATCTTGGAACTCAATGTATAGATCAGGGTGACCTAGAATTGTGGTGAACTTCCTGTCTCTGCCTCCCAAATACTAGAATTACAGGCATACAATACCATGGCCAGTCCCCAAAAGATGTAACTGTCAGTTGTACAACATATAGTTAAAGTAGAAATACTTTGCTGGGTATGGTAGCACACACCTTTAATCCAGGCTAGGCAAGCACATCTCTGAGTTTGAGGCCAGTTTGGCTTACATACAACTTCCAGGCCAGCCATGGACTATTTTGGGAGATGCTGTCTCAAAAAATTTTTTTAAATGAAAACACTTGGCGTGGTATGGTCATTGCACTCTTGAATGCTGAGTAGCTATGATTGCCTACACAAGACCTGCACAAGATTGGGCCCTTTGTGTGACGGTGGCCGCAGACTCTGTGACAAGAGTGATACCATGAGAGGGGAAGGAGAGGTGGGAAGACGTGGGCAAAGTTTCATGTGACAAGAAAGAAAAGAGGAGCCTTGGGGGTGTGGGGTGGGGAGGGGAGACAGGGTGAGGGAAGGGGTAAAATTTTGACAAATGCCATAGTGAAGCCTAATTCTTTATATGTTAATAAAAAAAAAAAAGTTTTGTAAAAAATAGATTGAACCCCTCAACATTCTGTCATGGAGGGACTCACAAGGCCCCATATATTTCTGGGATCTATAGGCAGTTCACCATTGCCAGGGGTCATTTTATTCAATGTTGTAGCCACTGGTAAGTTGCACCTGTTCCTGCAAATAATTTCCTACCCATGCTCATGTAAGTAACTCTAAATGCATTGGGTCACCAAAAACAAAAATGGGGAGGGGTTCCTAATTTTTTTTATTATGAATAAAGCACAGTGAAGCCTTTTTTTTTTTCTGTCTTTTTGAGACACGGTCTTCCTGTAGCCCCAGCTGTCCTGGAACTAACTATGTAGACCAGGTTGGCCTTGAACTCACAGAGATCTGCCTGCCTCTGCCTCCCAAATGCTGGATTAAAGGTGTACGCTACCATGCCCGGCCTCATAGTAAAGACTTTAAAATAAAAATACTTAAAACATTTTGGAACCCCATTGAAGGTGTTGGTCTTTGTGAATAATACACATTAAACTATTAGTTACTTTGAGAGCCAAGTAATAATACGCCCAAGTCAGAGTACCACTTAGCTGGGCTGTAATCTTGTCAGTCCTAAGGTAAAGACAGAGATCACAAGTTCAGTGCAAGTGTGGGCTATCTAGCAAGGCACTCTTTGACTAGGGGTGGGGTGGGGGTGGACACCATGACACATCTCTCTCTCTCTCTCTCTCTCTCTCTCACACACACACACACACACACACACACACACACACACACACAGTGTATCCCCCTGGCCATGGCTTCCTAGTCTAACAGTGGCCCGGTCACACATATGTACAGTGTTTTTGTTTTCTTTTGCTGATGGCTTGTTGTTGTTTGGAGATGTGGGAGGCTTCCTTTTTGTGCTAGGGATCTAGCCCCAGAGCCTTGAACTTGCTAGGCAAGTGCTGTACCACTGAGGTGCACCATCAACTCCTCTTTTGCTCTGGTTTTTGAACTTTGCCTAGGAATGGTAATAAAAGTCAATGATAAACCTAGATTCTTATAGTAAGAACCATTTATAGCTGGTATGTCTATAGTCGTAGCTACTCAGAAGCTGAAGCAGGAGGATCACTGAGCCCAGGAGTTCTTGGCCAGCTTAGGCAACATAATAAGACCACACAATAAAATTTTTACTGGGAAAAATGTATGAACCAATTACTTAGAAGTTGGCATGCTTTTTCTCATAAAAATAATAAAAGGTGATGAGCTCTTTGACAGTCATAATAACCTATTTAACACCTATGTAACCAAACAACAATAATGCTAATAATGCTTTCTTCTCAATCACGGTCTTGCGGGGAGGGGAGGTCTTGGGCAATTCAGGGTTATAGGATTACATTGTGTAGCCCAGGGAGTTGTGAATGAGAATTCCTGGAAAGAAGCTGTGACTACAAAGCTTTATTGACTGATTAGAACTTCAGTGATCTGGAGAGGCTGGCATTTTACAAGTCCAGAGGCAATTATCTTGGGGTGTCTTTAGCCCCGCTTAATAACTTCTATAAGTGACCATTAGGTAAATCCTTTGGGATGTGTGAACAGACCCCGACTTTCCACCAACCAAACTAAGAATGCTGTCAGATTGCATTTGAGGAGGTCTCTAGCTGAGTTCCCCTGCTTTGCTGTCACCCACCTACCCGTTGTACCCACCAATGCAATTGAAAATGTATTGTTTTATGACTTTCTTTGTTCTCTTCTATAAAAAGTTCATGAGGAGCTAGAGAGTTGACTCAGTGATTAAGAGCACTGACTGCTCTTGCAGAGGATCCTGGTTTGATTCCCAGCACCCACATGGTGATGAAGTACCATCCTAACTCCAGTTCTAGGGGATCCAATTCCCTCTTCTGACCTCCGTGGGCATCACACGACACAGGTGCACTTAACACATGTGCAATAAAATAAAAATCACAACTAAAACATGCAACATATTTGGGGAAGCCTAAATCCTGGTCCACGGTCACTCATATTTGGATCCAGAATAAACCACCTCTTTTATTCCTTTGAGATGAAAGCTATTTCAACAGTGTTCTTCAACACATTTTTATTTCTGCTCTAAAATGGACACCTTTGGGGGATGGGGAGATGGCTCAGTAGGGTAAAGTGCCTGCTGTGGGAGCAGAGACCTATGTTTGGATCCCTAGAACCTGTGTCAAGAGCCAGGCATGGTGGGACATGAATGGACTACCAGGGTTGGAAGGATAGAGATAGGCAAATCTTGAAGCTCATTGGCCAGCCAGCCTGGTTGACTGCCTCAAACAAAGGTGGAAAGCAATCAAGGCAAGACACCAGAGAGAGAGAGAGAGAGAGAGAGAGAGAGAGACTCAGTGGCAATATATACATTGTTTTGTTTTGTTGAGATGATTTCCTATAGCCCCAACTGGCCTAGAACTCACTGTGTAGAGCAGACTGGCCTTGATCTCACAGAAATCCACCTGCCTCTGTCTTTTAAGTGCTGGCATTAAAGGCATGCGTCAACAGGCCTGACTTCTTTTTTAATGTTTTTTAAAAAATATTTTATTGTTTTTAGTTTTTTTTTTTAATTAGAAGAAGCATTTCATTACAACAGCATTAACCTATTCAATAACATTTTTCTGAGCTAGGGTACATCTCTTTCAAAATTGGCTGTACATTTTTAGGTTTACAGATGAATTATTAAGCTTATATAATCTTTAACTCATTGTAAACTCTATAAGACATAAAATTAAATGAGGTTCCAACGTTTAAAAAAGATCTCC